CAAATTCTGACCACAGCTTGACCCATGCTCCTGCACCCTCCCAACACCTACACCACCCAACTGGTCGCTTGATGTGATGGGCAGCCTCATTGACCAATATAGAGGTGGAGGAGAGGACAAGCCAGACAAAGACCTCTTTGAAGGAGCATCTCACTATATTTAAACTGCTTGGCTGTAGTCAGTCAATGCTAATTTGTAGTCTATCTAGGCTTAGCCTTCTCCTAAACTGACCCTGACTGTCAGTTCTCTCTTCTGTCAGTAGGCAGCACTGTAATCTCTGGAAATGGTGTGAGGATTCACAGTGGGCTTGGATTATGAATATTCATATCCTTTTCCAGCAAAACACTAGAAGTTTCAGTGCCAGTGAAGCATCATGGGAAAGGGTATAAATATTTGCAATGAGCGGGAGCAAACTTTCTTCCTCCCTGGCTGCACCCTGGGGAGGTGCATGTGATCCTGAGCAGTTTCTTTAGACTTGCCTATCTGAAGAAGCCTGTACATGATTATTCCTGGAACTTAGGCCTGTGGCTGTCCTTGTCTGGATACTGAATAGAGTCTCGAAGGGGTCAGACAATCATTAGGATGTTTATTGCCAGTATAGCAGGCAAAGAGTATAAGTATTCAAGAGTGACCTTGGGAGGTCTTCCAAGGTTTCCCAGAAGAACATTGTCCAAAGCAACACACTGCCTCTTTGTTGGCTTGCCTTCTTCCCAAAGTGCATCCTAGTGCTATCTCTTCCCCCGGTAAGGAACATACAGACACCTGGCCATCCATATTATGTAAAAGTAAATGTAAATCATCAGACCAGAGCACTTTTTTCCATTGCTCCATAGTCCAGTTCTGATGCTAACATGCTCATTGTTGGCGCTTTTGGCTGTGGCAGGTCAACATGGGCACCCTGACTGGTCTGTGGCTATGTAGCACCATACACAACAAACCGTGATTCCCATTTTTTTCTGTCTTCAACTCATCAGCTTCAGGGACAACATGTTTACTTACTGCCTAATATATCCCACCAACGTTTGAATGCAATTGTAACAAGATCATGTTATTCACTTTACCTGTCAATGGTCAAAAAGTTATGGCTGATCACTTTAAAGTCTATCAATGGTGGCATGATAATTATTTTAATCATTTAACTTCCATCACTGTCTGTGTCTATGTTTATAGAACATTGCATCATCCCGGGAATTTCTTCCCTTTAGGGACAAGTTTGGTGTGGAACGTTAGACGAGCGTGACCTCTGAAGCAGCTGGCATGGACTGGTCAGATGGGAGCTTGAGATTTCACTCTACCGCCCTCACAATGCTGGATACTTTCTGCAGTAAAACAATTCCCAGAATGCAATTTTGCATTAATGTTTATGAGACTGCTTCATGGTAGCTGTATACTCTGATTTTTTTACTTATAAATTTCTTTTTAAGTTTTATATTGGGTAAAAAAACCTATCCTTTTGGAGCATTTTCCTGGCTTGGATTACAATAGGGGTAAACAATTAAATCACTCAGTGGTGAAAGATAACAAGGGTGAGCACACTCAAGTCCACAAAATGAGTCAGTCTTAGTGGATTGTATTTAAGGTTAATACATAGTAAGACATATGAATGAATTTCCTCTCTTCCTTTCACCCAGCTGCTACAAATAAGGACACTACCCATCCTTCCCCTGCCATTATGGAGGCCACTTTTTTTCAGTATTGACTTGAGTATTCATCGTCAGCGTGCAGTGATGTCACATGCCGCTTTATTCTGAAGTGAGCCAGATGTGTCATATCTTGAATTTTTGGGGGCAACCTCTAGATTCATGTGTCACCTTATATACTGAGAGCACTGAGTTGACAAGGGATTTTCAGAAATCTAGAGTGGGAGCCACGAGTAACTTCCATTTCAATGAAATAGCTCTCCTAGCATAAAAAGAGGAACACCCAGAAGTATTCGAATTACTCAAATGGGGGCTAGTGGTTCCACAAGACCCAGTAAACATGAAGCAACATTTGTAGGGATTATTATTATTATTATTACTACGAGTTTATATAGCGCCAAAGGGTTTGCTCAGCGCTGTACAATAGGGGGGACAATACATGGCACAGTACAACAACAACAAACAATGTACGAGGGGTAAGAGGGCCCTACTCTTACGAGCTTACAATCTAGGAGGGAGGGGGTAAAGGTACAGTAGGAAGTGGCTGAGGGGGATGAAGTGGTGGGAGGAATGAGGGAGGATGGAGGGGGATGACCTGCATGATCTCAGACCAGAACAAATGACTATCAGGGCACCTCCATAGTATATGGATATATGCTGCTGAATTGTTAAGACGTTTCCAACAATATGCAGGAGTGGAAGGGAAAATGGTGTGAAATCTTTATAGGGTTGAATAAATTTTGTGTAAAACCTTGAATAGTATTAACCTATGCCTGGCTAAGACTAATTGAAGCATTGGGTAATTACCACACATCCTCCCAGTCCTCTTTGGCCAACTTTGGTGCATCAGTCAGCCACTTAAACTGCAATGTTTAAAGCCCTTCATGAATATGTGGTTGTAAAGCCTTATAGATATCGGACGGGAGTTTAGTCAGATTCACTCGGTCTTAGAGGGTGTTAGCTCAAGCTCCGTTGTCCCAAACTGAGAATGATGTGCATGGCAAAGTTGCAAATATGTAAAGAAGTATGAGCTAGGGAGATTTTGCTTTTTTCAATTTGTCAAATGACATAGGTCTCATGCAAATGGCTATATGAATTTATGTTCTAAATATGCTGGATTATTTCTGCCACATCTTGGCGGAAAAAATGCCTCTAATTCGTTTATGTGCATATGACATAAATGCATTAATTATATTAAATATAAATATTAATTTATTTCTGGCCTTTAAAATACATTTACATTCATATGCACACACAAACGAAGTGCCCAAACGTCTCTCTGAATGCAGCCTTGGTGCTTTTTTTTTTTTCCCCTTGGGAATGGCCAGGTCACCAGAACTAATGTCCCCATTGGAAGAGTTCCTCTCTATTACTCGTCTTTGGACAACCCAAAATTTGGGATTTTCTTACTTTTCAATCTCGATGAAAATGGTAAACAGGACAAATAGAGAGGGTGAGTCACCTTAGTGGGGACACAGACAGCAATAAAAACTAACAGGTGCTCTAATCCTTCCCCACTCCACTGCACGCAAATTAAATTTATATAATTTTTTTCAGACAAAACAGAGCTTTCTTGTGGTGGTACTTGATCACTACGGATTTTTTTTTTTACTATATAAAACAAAAAGATCAATTTTGAAAAAAAATCCAGTATTTTCTATTTTCTGTAATAAAACATATCCAAGAAAAAAATTGAAAAATCAGATTTCAGCATAAATTTAGGACAAAATGTATTTGCTCCTAACTGCTGCTAAAAGCCTGCACATGCCGCCCAGCTGCTGTATATTTACTATGGCGGATAAAAGCTGGCACAAAAATGCTAATATGAGCATTTTTCATCCAGCGTTTTTAGCTTGTAGTGTGCATGGAGCCCAAGCATATATAAACTGGTTTATGGCATATATTTGAAAATGTATCAATCCTGATGTGTTGATGGCCTCTCATTTCTTGAGGCCCTTAAAATAACAGTACAGTACAAATACCCCTTTTTGGAAAGTAGATAGTCTGAGGTATTTCGTAAAAGGCATGGCGAGTTATTTTGAAGTTGTAATTTTTGGAAAATTAAGAACTTAAGTTTTTCTTTTTAATTTTTTTTTTACCAGCGCAGTACAGTGTGAGCATATGACTGGTGTGGGGGTGATGATTAGGAACACCAACTGGTGAGCCGCAACCTGCTGTGTATGAAGGACACAATGGTCAATGGGGGGTGCGTGTTGCAGTACCGAGTAGTACAATGACGTACTGCCCAACTGCAGTATATTCCATCTGAGAGTGTGGTTATAGAGAGTGTGGTTCACCTAAGATTTCCATTTTTTTTTTTTAATAAATGGGTTTTGTACAAAATTACTGATATGTTTAGTGGGAGATGACTTTTTTAATGGCACACTTTGGGTAAATATTTGGCTTATGAAGTCTATAAAGACAGGTGGTAGGAGTTTGAAAATATTATTTTGTACAGTACTGAAGATCCAAAATCAGCTTTAGAATCAGTAGTAATGATCGCTTATTCTAGGAACAATTAGTGTATTATTGCTGGAATATATAAACAGCACTGGAAGGGTTAGAATACTTTGATGGAGACAATGCTCTCCAGGTTCCCTCTTGGTCTCATAGTATCTGGGGAAGAATTCAGATCATGTTCTCATCCCTTGAGGTCTTATGAGCACACACTTTGGCCATTGGACATGCAAGAAATGCTGAAGGGAACCAGAAGCAGCATTTTCTCTAGGAGAGAAGTATGTCATCATGCTGGCAAGTCAGAGAGTTGCAAGATTGGTCTCTTCTCTGCATACAGAATGATGACACTTTTGCTGTGAATGGACAAGTGCTTATTGCATATATAAAGATTGTTCCTTGTAGGGAAATATCTTTGTGAGGTGCTCCAGTTGATGGGCATGCAGCACCAAAGCCTGGACTGTTTGATGCAAGGGATTTCTATGACCAGGCGACCTTGTTCAAGAAATAGCCATTCAGTGGTATGGCTTTGCTAAAACAGCTTAATATCAATGTTGTCAGGGCAGTTATACATGAAGGTCAACACCCCTTTAACAACAGTAAAGACTCAGAAGCTGCTAATTAGAAAAAAAAACAAAAAACTTTCTTTATTAACAAGTCTAAAGGAAAAAAAAAAAAAAAAAAAAGACACCAATAACAAATGTTCTATCAGTCTTTGTGCAACAAATCATCTTACTTCTGACAGATCACATTGCGAACTATGGATCAATCCTCACAACCAGCTCATTGAACAGTCTTGAAGAAAATATTTAGGCCGGAGAACCATTAGATAGGCATGAAGACCAAATTCTCCATCCACACGAAGTGTCACAAAACTGACACCAATGTCCTATCACAGAGTATTGCTCAGTTATCCACTTCCTCATCTTCTATCACTTCGTCCTCTTCCATCTTTTCCTCCTCATCTTCATTGTCATCCTCTCTGCTTTTGTCCTCCTCTCCGTCTGCTTTCTTATCTTTGTCCTTCTTCTTCAACTCTGAGGCTTCTTTCTTTTCCTTCTGTTCCCGCCTGTAAGCTGCAGAAAAAGTAGACATTACTCATTTTTAGCTCGATGTGATTAAAGCAGAACTTCAGTCTGTCAATCAACATTAACTATTTTTAATCTTTATTGCTGCTAGCATTAGTAAATAGATAGGAAAGTATATCATGTTTACTTGATTCAAACTTTTTTCTTCATTTACTTTCTGGTTGCCATGCCTAGGCAAGTGATGACATACATCCCAGGAGTCTTCAAGAGGGGTTTTCTCAGTGAAGCACAATCTCCTGCCTACATGCCTGAGCTAAGGGCAGATGGATTCCAGGAAATGAATGCTACATGCATCATCTGCCCTCACTCAAGATGGCCATGGCCAAAAATGCTAGGGGTGCTTTTCTAAGTGATTTCTCAGCAAATAAAGCATGGAGACATGGATGGATAAATGGATGGGGGAGTTTGCTTTGAATATTAACCACTTCCCATCCGGCCCATGTATATAAACGGCCAGATGGGAGCAGTGCAGGGGTGGGTGGCCATTTATAAACATCCTCCCCGCTCCCTGGGAGCACGTAGCACCACGATCCAGTGCCCGCTGTGTCCTCCGGACACAACGGAACACCAATCGTTGTACGGGACCTCTGTGTGAGGTCCCGATCATGTGATCACCGATTGGCCAATCAGTGGTCACATGAAGAGTAGTAAGCAAGATGTCACTTCTGACATCATTGCTTACTATGTGTGAAATCTGTGAATGATCACATGGTACAAGGCTATTCACAACAACCTTGTGCCATGTGACAAGCTGTGACCAATCACAGCTCACAGTGTTTCTCAATGGCTGCAAGAACGCAGAAAGACAGAAGGAGAAATGGATTGCTTTTACACCTATAAAGGCTATCAGTGTACAAAAAAAAAAAAAAAATCTTCACCTCCCCCCACATGTAGTACAGTACTGTCACTGATAGGGAGACAGTATGTAAAAAAAGACCCCAAAATAATAATATAAAAAAAAAAAATTAAAAAAAATGTTAAGAACTATAATTTTTGGTTATATATACTAATTTGGGTTATTACTAAAAAGATAACTAAATACATTTTGGCCAATATTTATGAAGAAAGATTATTTGCAAAATTTTATAAGAAAATCATTTTTCAAAATTTTTGGACATTTTCATTTATATAGCAAAAAAATAAAAATTCCAGTGGTGAATACCACCAAAATAAAGTTTATCTCTCAAAAAAATTCTAAAAAATTCATATGGGTACAGTGTTGCATGACCGCGCAATTGTCATTCAAAGTGTGACAGCAATGAAAGCTGAAAACTGGCCTGGACAGGAAGGGGGTGAAAGTGTCCAGACTTGACATGGTTAAAAACAAATGAAATAGCATTTTTAGTTTGCGATGCTCAGGTGCAGCACAGTTCCACTATAAATTACCATCTTACATCCTTTCTGACACAGCCATAGCCATGAATCTGGATGCATTGTGTTGCAGTATCCCCCACAAGAGGGGGCTTAGAGAGAAACAGGCCAGTCAACACGGGCACAAAACTATTATGGTTTATAGCTTCTCAAACACATTTTAACAGGAAATGTATTTACATTTGGGGGCTCCCACTTCTTTCAGATGCAGGGAGTTGTGATGGGGACACAATGCGCCCGGCCATATGCTAACCTGTACCTGTGGAGAGGGAATGCTCCAAGGTCATGAATGAAGGAATTCTGGTGTGGCATAGGTACATTAATGACATGTTTTCTATCTGGACGGCTTTTGGATGAACTTGAGGAATTTGTTGTGAAACTTAAAATAAATCTATTAACACATTATTGTGTTCACGTGATATTCCTGGCGCCATGGCTGCAGCCATCAGCCATAACCCCAGTAATTTTCAGCCAGCAATTCCCTAACTTGTAAAAGTGATCTGCCACTGGATCACGTTTACAAGCAGCGGCACTCTCCTGCCACGCTCTGGTGCACGTACCTTGTTTTCCACGTTCCCCGTCGCAAGAGGGAACCCGGAATCCGACAGTTGTGGCCACTTACAATGGAGGTGATATCCCCGATCATCTCAGGACAGGGGTCTTCAAACGTTCTAAACAAAGGGCCAGTTTACAGTCATTCTGATGTTAGGGGGGCTGGACTTTGCCCAGTGGGAGTAAATAATGTTCTAGCTTTGCTATTAGGGGGAGGAATAGTGCCCGACTGTTGGTGTCAATAGGAGTAAACAAGGTCCTATCTTTGCTATTAGGGGGAGGAATGAATAGTACCCGATCGTTGGTGTCAGTAAAAGGAATTATGTCTCCTAGATTGTAAGCTCCAAGGAGCAGGGCCCTCTAATCTCTTTTGTATTGAACTGTATTGTGGCTGTATCATCTCCCACTATAATGTAAAGCACTGAGCAAACCGTTGGTGCTATATAAATCCTGTATAATAATAATGTCCCATTGTTGGTGTCAGTGGGAGGAATCATGCTCAACTGTTGGTGTCAGAGACAGAAATAAGGCCACAAGGACCGGATAAAGGCAAGCAAAAGGGCCACAGTTTGAAGACCACTAGTCTAGCAAACCGGAAGCGATGAGCCTTTAGTCACTTCAGGTTAGGAGAAAATGTAAATAGAACTTTTTTTTTCTGGAAAGCATGAGATCAATGGTTTTTTTTTTTATCTCATGCTTTCAAGGGTAGAAGAAGAGATCTGCGGTTCTATAGACTCCGGATGTCTCCATAAAGAGGACCGGTCATGCTTTACTGCTGTCACAAGAGATGTTTACTCTTCTTGTGACAGCAATAAAAGTGAAAAAAGGCAAATGCATACATAGGTCACGCACACATATGTAAACGGTGTTCACCCCACACATGAGGTACTGTCGTGAACATTATAGCGAGAGTGACATGTTGGGTATCCATTTACTTGGAGTAACATCTTTTATATTTTACCAAAATTGGGTTATACATAGTGTTTTTTTGGATTAAAACTCATTAAAAAAGTGTATTTTTTTTTAAATTGCATTAAAAAAAAAAAAACGCGCAAATAGCATGTGACATAAATTGCAATGACCACCGTTTTGTTCTCTAGGACTTCTGCAAAAAAAAACTTGGGGGTTCCAAGTAGTTTTCAGCATAAAATACAGATTTTTACTGATTTTTTTCTGACACAAAAAGAGTCAGTAGAGGCCTGGTCTTCAAGCGGTTAAAGGAAAGAGAAAGCAGGTCACACATCACACAAAGTATCCCACATAGCCAGTATCTTCACATACTGTACGAGAAATTGTACTAAAGATTTGGATTTTGAATGCCAATCTAAAGCTCAGAGTGAAGGGTTATTGGCAAGAGGGTGCAGCAAAAACTGCCTGAAAACCATGACATGTTTAGCGTAAATACAAAGAAACAGGATCACACAATAAAAGGGATTACAAGGTACTCAATACCACAGCCTGTGTACAATCTTGCAGAGCTATTGGTACCCATCATTGGTTTTATCTATGATAGACTGGTACATAGTCACTATAAAGTGAGGGATTCAGGCTTTCATGAAAGCACCTCCAAATAATAATAGAAGGAAGGGTGATCAGGTTACCTAATGGAAACAGATTCTACCCAAAGCATTAAGTCACTTATGAGACACCGGTAATAATATATCTAGTGCTATGCACTGGTGGAGCCATGACTTTTACATAATTAAGTTTGAATAAAAATTAAAGTATTTATGAAACTATGTAGTTTTCATTGTAGCATCTAAAAAGTCCCCTAAAAAATTATTTGTGTGTTGTGATTCCTAAAATTTGAAGTAATTAACCTCAAGGCTGTGGATAAAGGGGTACCACCAGTCCTCCTGTACAGGGCCCCAGGACAGAAGAAAACCCAGGCACTGTATAGCTCTCTCTGCAGTTCTCCTCATCTCCAGCTTGCTGGATTTTAGCTGCTGCAGAGAGACATAAAGGGGATCGGTTCCAGTCATTAACCCCCCACCGTACTCATCACCCTCCATGTGCACCATACATTTCCCCCTGCTGCCCAGGCCCCCTTGTGCGCCACCAACCCCGCAGTGCTGCCAGCTTTCCTCCTCTCCTCCCCACCAGCAGCTGTAAGCTCACAATAGGATCTTTTTCTAAATGAAGTGATCGGTACCAATCCTTCAATGTGTTCATTCATAACTAAAGCATAGAAAACTTTTTTTTTGGGGGCTGTCAGGCAGGTTGTATAGGGCCCCGTGGTTTCCAACAGCAGCCTTGATCCAAATGATCTAAAAAGGTGCAGAGGACTATGAGCAGAAAAGCCATAGCTTTTCAAGACACAGGCCACTAGAATGGTAAGTATATGCAGTCTTCTATATGCAGATGTGTTTTCATACAAATGACAATGAAAGGGTCACTTTAAAGGGTTACTAAACCCACAACAGCAACATCAGTCTGTATATGCAGTAAAGCATGCTTGTTATACTCACTGTGGAACCTAAGGGGGTAATTCTCTGCATTGTTTAAAAAAAGCTGTTTGATCTTGACTTCTCTGATCCTCCCCTTCTTCCAGTGTCCCCCCCACTTATCTCCTGATAAGACATATCGTATGGAGTCCCTCTGTATATGCTCAGTTTGGTGTGTATTACTAGAGAGGTTGTTTTTTTTCTTGGTAGAGTGCATGTGATCAGCACAGGGCCAATCAGCGCTGTCCAGACAGAGGTCAGGGGTTCTACATTCTCCTAGAGAAAAATAAAAACTTTTCCTACAAGCTTTAATATGTGCTCTGCTGGACACTGATAGAAGTCATAAGATTGCTATATACTGCTGATGAGAAAAGGTATTTAGAAGTTTATATCTACTAATATAATTGCACTTCCATGTTCTGTGTACTGTGGGAGACCAGATATAGTGAATGCCGAGTTTAGTAACACTTAAGGCTTTTTAAAAGAAACTGTCCTGTCACGCTTTCAAAAAAAATGTCACGTATGCTTGAAAATCTCCAATTAAAACAAAGCTCTTACCTTCTAGAGCCTCTTTCAGGGGACCCAGAAACCGCTGGAACTCCATCTCTTCCATAGCCGACATTACATCAGACACATTCAGCGTTTTCCTCTTCTGCTTCATTGCAAAACTGTTGGCGCTAAAAAAGGTATGGCGTTAATGTATCAGAGGGCTCATCATGTACTCCCTTTATCACGTTGATCATTGTGAAAGCAGCCAATCAATTCACTAGAGGTCCTGGTAACTTATTTTGTCACCACAACATGGCTGCCTCTACCAGATCTAGACAAAAGGAGCATTAGTACAGGACAGATTTGACACAACCGCGGAAGAGAACCTGCATGGTATTAAAAGTGGGGCCCATTACCCTGGCAGCCCAAACTGCATCCATAAAACTTCATAGAGGTTTGTTTCATTTAATCTGCTAATGCAGGTTTTTTTTGAACAGCAAATTTCCTTTGCTTGGAGGGGACAGGGAGCAGATTCATAGACAAATTATATGTAAAAACATTTCAACTCAAGTTGTAGAAATAGATGATCAGCAGTTTGTTTGCATCAAGCAGAGGACTCAAATGATCTCTGATCTCACCTTGTACAGATTGTCATAGCAGACATCACTCACAGTTGTGATCACCATTATCTGATTTGAAACCCAGGAAGAATTACAAGAAAATTCCCCAATTCTTTTTGTCTAAAACACACAAAATGCCTCCCCCTAAAATACAACATCATTAGCTCGGTAGACACTTACCAGGATGTTGCATAAAGGACAAAGACACTGGCTGCCCGTGAGATTGCACTGCGCGCTTCTTTAGATACATTTACTCCTTCTGGTAACTGCAAAAAAAAAAAAAAAAAAACACAAAAAAAGACCATCACCTACTTGTATTGGACAGGTGTAAGGGAGCTTTATATAGACACTGTCAATTTGCTCTACATGGGTAGTGGTAATGCTTACTTAACCACTTGCCTACAGGGCACTTATACCCCCATCCTTCCCAGGCCAGTTTTCAGCACTTTGAATGACAATTGTGCGGTCATGCAACATTGTACCCAAATGAAATTTTTTATCATTATTTTGAGAAAGATAGAGCTTTCTTTTGGTGGTATTTAATCACCTCTTGGTTTTTATTTTTTGCTAAACAAACCAAAAAACTGAAATCTTTGAAAAAAAATAAAATAAAAAGATGTTTGTTTTTTTTTCTTAGTTTTTGTTCTAAAATTTTGTAAATAAGTGATTTTTCTCCTTCACTGATGTGCGCTAATGAGGCTGCAGTGATGGGCACTGATAGGCTGCACTGATGGGCATTGACAGGCATCACTGATGGGCACTGATAGGCTGCACTGATGAGGAGGCACTAGTAGATGGCACTGATGAGGAGGCACTGATGGGCATTGACAGGCATCACTGATGGGCACTGAAAGGCAGCACTCATATATGGCATTGACAGACGGAACTGATAGGCGGCACTGAAAGGCAGCTCAGATGGGTACCGATATGTGGCATTGATGTGCACTGGTAGACACTGATAGGTGGCATTGATGAGGCACTGATGGGCACTGGCAGGTGGCATTGATGAGCACTGACAGCTGGCATTGATGGGCAGTGACAGGTGGCACTGCTGGGGCTACACTGATCATCAGGGCACACTGATCAACAGTGCACTGATGATCAGTGAACATGTCCCCTCCGAAGAATGGCAATTACCGGCTCTCCTCTCTTCTCAAGCGGTCAGCGGGACAGCTGGTGAGAAGAGAAATGCCGATAAGCGGCATTTCCCTTTTTGCACGTGATCAGCTGTGATTGGACACAGCTGATCACATGACCGAGCCAACATCTTCGGCTCTTTCTGTTGATCGGTGATCCGCTGTGTCCAAGGGACACAGCGCACCACCGAGTGCTGCGCACATGCGGTTAGAGTGGGCGGACGTCATAGGACATCCTCCCAGAACAAGAGAACCGCCTTGCGCCCGTCATTACCTTATATGGCGGGAGGGAGGCAGTTAAGAGATCATTCACACGGGCAGAGAGGTCTGTACAGTATGCAAGAGCCATTTGTTTATGTGTCTGAAGTTGTGTGCAGGCAGCCTGTGTTGGTCAATGGAGTTTACAGGCGTGCAGGGATGGGTTCACAGCCTCTAATGCAGTCAGTGGGCTTCTGGGGCTATGTGCCCATCCCTGCACATCTACCAAACTTGGATGTGCAGGTGAGTCTGTACAGCTGCTGCGTCTCCACTGATTAACACAGGCTGCCTGCATGCAGTTCCAGACTGCTCTAGATGCATGAACAATGGCTCTTGCACAGTGTACAGGCCTTTATACCTGTGCGAATGAGCCCCAAAGAAAAAAATAAAAATAAATAGTATAAAAAGGTAAGCACTCCCTTTGTCATCAATGTGACACATTAACTACTGATATACAGCGGATATAGAAAAGAACCCCCCCCCCCTTTAAAATTACCACATCTTGTTGCTTTGCAGCCTGAAATGAAGACAGACACAGTTTTTGTTTTATCCAGCTGTATTTACTCAGTGCAACTTATGACATCCAAGTGAAAGATATAACACCAACATGTTAGAAAAACAAAATTCAAAAAACAGAATCATGACTCAGTTGGAAAAAGAATCACCCCCCCCCCCCCCTAAAAATGAAATGTAAACTCAGTCAGGTGTAGCTAATCACTTTCTCAATGGCACACAAAGCCATTTTACCTGCAACTGTGATCAGCTGTGGTCATTTTGATTAACTCAGCATGAAAAGAGCTTTACTGGAGCATTTCAGTCCCTGAAACTGAAGCAAACAATCAACTATGAGTGGCAAGGCATTGTCAAAAGATCTCCGGGATAAAGTTGTGGACAGGCACAAGTCAGGAGGTGGATCCCAAAAAATGTCAAAGGCTTTATCAATACCTAGAAGCACATGAAGTCTACTATTAAGAAGTGGAAGGTATTTGATTTGGTACAGCACAGACCCTCCCTGGACCAGGACGTCGCTCTAAACTGGATGAAAGAGCCAGGAGGAAACTGGTCAGAGGCTACCAAGAGGTCTACAGCAACTCTGAAGCAGCTGCAGGAATTTATGACAAAGAGTGGTCAACTGTGTACCTGTGACAACGATATCACACATTATCTACAAATGTGACTTGTATGGGAGGGTTGCAAGAAAAAAAAGCCATTTCCTGAAAAAGGCCACATGCAGTAATGACTAAGCTTTGCCAAAATGCACCTTGAAGATTCTGAGGCCACATGGAAAAAGGTGTTCTGGACAGACTAAAATGTACTTATTTGTCCTCAACACGAAACAATATGTCTGGTGGAAATCCAATACAGCTCATCAACCAAATAACACCATTCCTACAGTAAAGCATGGAGGTGGTAATATCCTGTTATGGGGGAGTTTCTCCGCAGCAGGGACTGGAGCACTTGTCAGGATAAAAGAAAAATGGATGGGGAAAAATATCGTCACATTCTGGAGGAAAATCTGTTGCCCTCTGCCAGAAAGTTGTCAATGGGAAGAAGGTTTACCTTCCAACATGACAATGAGAGATCAGAGAACTTCCGCTTCCGATCACCTAGGCGGTTGGAGCAGAAGTGGGAGCGGGTACCTGTCAAAATCAGGTACCCTCTGCCCCCCCCTCCTCCCCGAAAGCTCATTTTCACAAACAGGAGTGGGGGAGGCCTTAAAGCAGATCTTCCCCTTTTGGGTGAAGCTTTGCTTTAAATAAAAGCACAAGAAAAATTGTGTCCATCTGTTCAAATATGAAAAACAAAAACAAAAAAACAAAACAAAAAAAAAAACAAACACACACACACACACGAAGAACAATTTTCATGAGGATGAATGTTTTTCACTTGACTACTTGGAGGGGAGAACAGGATTTGCAATCACTGGTTAATGTCTCAACCTAAACTAGGGATTAGTCAGGCCTCCTATGAGGTTTTTTCTATTTATTTATTGCAGTCTGCATCCTCAAAGGAGATTTACTCCCTATATTTGACCCAATCATCATTTTCAATAGGAGAGAAACATTAAAAAAAAACATTCTATTCTTTGCATATGCCTGTATGCCTGTATACACAGAGTACAGCCAATCATGTCTATGGGCCACCGTATGCTGCAGCTTTCCAGGCAGGTGAAATACACACGAATTTATGTTACACAGGCTCAGGCGCCCATGTGTAGGAAGTTTTTTTACTTTTTCCAAAGGGGGAATTTTCCTTCATTCTATCCCAGAGACAAAACAAGTAGAAAGTATTTATTCACTCCCTTGTTATCTCTCACCTTGACACAGGCTACCCCCTGCAGTCTATCATGAATGCTGTTGCCAGTCTCATCCACCTTACCAATCGCTCAGTGTCCGCTGCCCCTTCTCTGCCAATCCATCCACTGGCTTACATTTTCGCAATAAATAAAATTCAAAATACTAAACAACATGCAAAGCCATCCACAATTCTGCCCCAAACTACACCACCAATCTTGTCTCAAATATATCACCAAAACCATCCTCTCCACTCCTCCCAAGACCTCCTGCTCTCTAGCTCTCGTCACCTTCTGCCATGCTACTCTCCAGGACTTCTCCAGAGCCTCTCCCATCTCTTGGAACTCTCTATCCCAATCTGTCCAACTATCTCCGACTCTGTCCACTTTTAGAAATTCCCTGAAAACTCATCTCTTCAGGGAAGCCTTTACCTAACAACTGAACTTTTAATTCTCCCATCAGCTCATCTCTCACTGTTATTACCATTTCTACCACTTGCCTCACCCTATTAGAGCATAAGCTCTCATGAACTGTTGGAGCAACATAAATCCTGCAGAACAATAACTCTCCTCTTAACCAGTTGTTCCCACGGGGAGAGTTCTCCTCCATTTTGTTCCTGGTGACAACCATAAACTTTTATTTTTTTTTGCGTACGCTATACGAGTGTTTACATGAGCACCATTGTATGGCTGAAGGCAGCTGTATGCAGCACCTGGGCTTTCCAGGCAGGAAAATAGGCTGGAATTTACCATACACAGGTTTAGGTGCCTGCATGCAGGAGGTCCTAAGAATATCGTTTAACCACTTGCTGACCTGCTCAGAGTAAATGTACTGTGAGTGGGCAGCAGGTGCAGGAACAGCAACGTACATGCACATTGCCGACTTTCTTCCAGGTTTGGGGGAGTTTGTCAGCAGGTTTTAGCTGAAGTCTAATGTCCAATCGCATTACAGAGTTCTGTGTTTACAAACACACAGAACTCTGTATAAACAGAACAGCAATCTCACCGTTTCTTCTCCCTGAAAAGCAGGGAGTTGATAACAGCCAGATCTGTGAGTAAAAGCAGCACACATTACACAATGTTAGGCACACAGTTAACCCCCTGGTTTCCCCTTGATATTAACCCCCTTTCCAGCTAGTGTCACTAGTACAGCATACAGTATTATATCTGATTACTGTATTGGTATTGTTAGCAATGACAGTGTCAGTTAGTGTCCCTCCCAGTCAGTGTCTATTAGTGCCACACTATAAGTCACTGATCATCATCATTACTAGTATAGCATCTATAGCTGCGTAAATTCCAGTATATACACACCATAGTTTGTAGACACTATAAAACTTTCACAAAACCAGTTAATATGCACTTATTGATTTTTTTACCCATGACTTGTAGCAGAATACATTTTGGCCTAAATTTACAAAGAAGATAGATTTTTATTGGATGTTTTTTAACCACTTCACCACGCTATAGCCGAAAGATAGCTACAGAGCAGCTCTATTGCTCTGGGAGGGCGTCCATGAACATCCTCCCGGAAGTACACCCCGTGACGTGATTCCATAATGCTCTGTGATCAGTCTCTTTTGGACACAGCTGATTACAGATCGCGGTAAAGGGCCAATCACAGCAGTCCTTTACTATGTGATCAGCTGTGTCCATTCACAGCTCGTTACAATGGAAACATGCTTGCCAGTTATCGACAGTACTTTCCTCACCTGCTGTCACAGGGTGAGGAGAGGAGAGCCAGTAACTGGCAAATGTGAAAGGGGTATTGATTATCAGTGCTGCCCCGTCAGCTCACATTAAAGGAAAAAAAATTACTTATTTCCAAAATTTTGGGTCTATTTTCGTTTGTTTAGCAACACATAAAAAGCCCAGTGTTGATTAAATACCACCACAAGAAAGATCCATTTGTGTGGAAAAAATGATAAAACTTTCATTCAAGTACAGTGTTGCATGACTGTGCAATTGTCATTCAACATGTGACAGCGCTGAAAGCGCTCAGCCGACCTCAAAATCTGCACCCCCGGCCTCACCACCCCTGCCCCACTCCTGGTCAGGAATGGGGTGAAAGTGCCTGGTATTGAAGTGGATAATAAAGTAAAGATATTTTTTTTTTTTGTTTATATAATAAAAAACCCAGTGGTGTTCAAATACCACCAAAAAAAGCTCTATTTGTGTGAAAAAAATCATATAACATTTCATTTGGGTGCAGTGTTGCATGACCAAGCAATTGCCAGTAACTGTAGTACAGTTCTGAATAGCAAAAAAATGCCCTGGTCATGCAGGCGGTAAATCTTTCCAGAGGGCAAGCAGTTAAAGTGGTTCTAAAGGCTCAATGTTTTTGACCTTCATGTATTCTATGCATGAAGGTAAAAAAAATTTCTGTGTGCAGCGGCCCCCCAGCCCCCCCCCCCCAATCCTTACCTGAGCGCCCTCTGATCCAGCTATGTTCTTGACAGCCTCTGCTGTCTGAGGACTCTTCCTCTTCATTGGCTGAGACGGCAGCTTTCAATTACAGCCAGGTGAGCCGATGAGGAGTGAGTGAGGGGGATGGGGACAGTAGTGGCTCTATGTGTCTTATAAACACAGAGCAGTGGCTCGGGAATCAGCACGCAGCAGTGCCCCCAGGGCAAGCAGCTTTCTCTGGGGGCACTGCTTGAGGGGGAGGAGCTAGGTGCGCCAGCCTGAAAAGAAGAGGATCAGAGCTGCTCTGTGCAAAATCACTGCACAGAGCCGGTAAATTTAGACATGTTTGCTATTTTTAAAAAATGAAAAACGAAGCTTTAGCATTACTTTGACAACGTGAATTAGTGAGCAACCAACAGCAACAGCCTCTACTGCTGATATGTTGGACTCATATGGAGTGCAATCTTTCTCCAGGACACTATAACAATGCATACACCCCATAATTACAAAATAAAAAGACTTCTTACCGCCTCTTTAATAATCCTGGTGACAACAGCATTGGGTAAATTGAGATCCTCTGGTCTCTCTGCCATCTTGACCAGCTACAGAAGAGAAAGGAAAGGATTAGCAATTCTGCAGACACAAAGATAATCAAGTCACCTATACCACAAATAAAGGGATCATCTCCACCCTCTGCCTTCCATACTTTGAGTCTTTTCTCAGGCAAGTCAAAAGTTCTTCTCTGCAGGACTGTTCTTGTTTAATGACTCAAGACCCATCTCCAGCCAAAATGTATTACTTTATTTTGGATGGAGTATAGGAAGGTTAGAGCCTCAGTCAAGCTTTGGACCCAGAGTCAGCTTATGGCGGGGCATTGCCTGCTGTCAGCTGTTGTGGCAGAGCTGCTCCAGGGTTTAAAAGGATCCCGACCATATTGTCGGGATCTACCCTGCCCACATGGAAGAAAAGTACCGTATTTTTCGCTCCATAAGACGCACTTTTTTTCCCCCAAAAAAGGGGGGAAAATGTCAGTGCGTCTTATGGAGCGAATATAGAGCGGCCGGTCCGGTATTTCCACCGCCGCCGTGTCAGAATACCGGGCCGGCCGCTCAGCTCTGCAATGGGACCTTACCTGTCCCTCTATCCAGCGGCGCGCTGTCTTCCCGGCTTCTGTAGTGTGCGTGACAGCCGGGTCCCAAGTGCGCATGCGGAAGAAGCAGTGCTCTTTGTGAATGGTAAGGCGGTACCTGGGACACATGACAGATCCCAGAAGCCGCCGGACCAATCACAAAGCGCAGCGCTTCTCGCGCATGTGCACTGGGCATCCGGCTGTCCGACGAGCGCCCACACTACAGAAGCCGAGAAGACAGCGCGCGGCTGGATAGAGGAACAGGTAAGATTAAAAAAAAAAACTCTGCGGAAGTAAGAGCAGGTACCTGTCAAATTCAGGTACCCGCTCCCCCTCCCTCCCCAAAGGTCAGCAGTCATCTTCTGTACTGTCCGCAGTCTCTGGTCATCTCCTGTACTGTGTCCGCAGTCTCTGGTCATCCCTGTACTGTCCGCAGTCTCTGGTCATCCCTGTACTGTCCGCAGTCTCTGGTCATCTCCTGTACTGTGTCTGCAGTCCATTAGTTCAGAATTTTTTTTTTCCTGTTTTCTGCCTCTAAAACCTAGGGTGCGTCTTATGGAGCGAAAAATACGGTATATTTGAAAAAATATTCTTCCCAAATATATTGCCATATATTTGAAATACTACAATTTTGGCCGTATTCAATATATTTCAAAATATATTCCTATATATATATATATATATATATATATATATATATATATATATATAGATATATATAGATATATATATATATCATGTTGAAATGCGTTTTTTATATATTACAAAATATCTAAAAAATTATTTTAAAAATATGTATTTTTTAAAATATATTCTTCAAATATATTTTCAACATAAAAAAGTCATTTTAACATATATTTTTACATATATTTGTAAATGCATTCCAAAAATGTAGATTAAATGTATTTTTAAAGACATACAATATATTTGAAAATGTATTTTTAACTAGTTGCTGACCGCAGATAGCCGAATGACAGCTGCACTGCGGCCGGCCAGTTCTGGGAGGGTGTCATATGATGTCCTCCCAGAACGCGCTCCTCTGCGTGCCCCCGGAGGCACGCACCCTGCAATCTCCGTGATCGCTGTGTCCTATGGACACAGCTGATCATGTGATGTGGTAAGAGGCCAATCACAGTGGCCTTTTACCATGTGATCAGCCATGTCCAATGACACGCTGATCACTGGGAAATGCAATTGCAGGTTCTCGGCTGCACTTTCCTCACACTGTCAGAGCGTGAGGAAAGTACTGCCGAGAACCGGCAGTTGTCAGAGCAGGGATCAGCACCGATCATCAGGGCACTGATGATCAGTGCCCTGATGATTGGTGCCCAGAAGTGCCACCCACCAGTGCCCAGCAGTGAAGCCTCATCAATGCACATCAGTGAAGGAGAAAAACTACCTGTTTGCAAAATTTTATAATAGAAACAAAGAATTTTTTTTTTCAAATTCTTTTTTTGTTTATACCAGAAAAAGTAAAACACCCAGCGGCGAGTAAATGCCACTAAAAGAAAGCTCTATTTGTGAGAAAAAAAATTATAAAAATTTCATATGGGTATAATGTTGCATGACTGCGCAACTGTCATTCAAAGTGCAACAGTGCTGAAAATTGGCCTGGTAAGGAAGGGGGTACGTCAAATAAAAATAGTATAGTAATAAAAGTGAGCGCTCTAAGATAAGCAGCTGAACACTCAAGGAAACCAAATAAAACCATGTCATAAACATGTAATAAAAAGTGCAGCGCTAAACAATAAAAATATTATTAATAATGTCCCCAATAATCAAGGCATATATCAGTGACAGTCTATATAGTGACGACAATGTGGTATAATGATCCAATCCAGTGGCAGTGCTCCCAGTGATAAGGTAAGAATTACGCACTCACCAGAAGCGTAATTCAACACGGATCTCCTTCACAGATAAAAGGTCCGGACTGGAACTCAGAGAGCCATATCTGAGTGAGCTGTGGATGAAAGTTTGCATTGCACAAGAGAGGAAAAGGCATCTGTACCCACCTATCCCTTAAAGGGACCTCTGGCCAGCTGGATCGTTCTACACCTCTGAGGGCTCATAACCTTACCACCCTGAGGGAGAATCACCCTGAGTTCCAGTCCGGACCTTTATCTGTGAAGGAGATCCGTGTTGATTTACACATTGCGTAATTGAATTACACTTCTGGTGAGTGCGTAGTTCTTACCTTATCACTGGGAGCACCGCCACTGGCTTGGATCATTATACCACATTGTCTTCACTATATAGACTGTCACTGATATATGCCTTGATTATTGGGGACATTACACCCTGTTCCAAATTATTATGCAAATTATATTTAAGTGTCACAAAGATTAAATATTCTGTTTTTCAGTTTAACTCATGGATGGCATTGTGTGTCAGGGCTCTTTTGATCACTGAAAACAATCTCGGACACCTATGATAATTAGATTGGCCAGTGAGCCCAATTTAAGGAAAAACTACTAAAAGAGGTTGTTCCACATTATTTAGCAGAGCACCATTTTCAAGCAATATGGGGAAGAAAAATGATCTCTCTGCTGTCGAAAAGAGTGAAATAGTTCAATGCCTTGGACGAGGTATGAAAACATTAGATATTTTACGAAAACGTAAGCATGATCATCGCACTATTAAGAGATTTGTGGCTGATTCAGAGCACAGACGGGTTTGTGCAGATAAAGGCACATTGAGGAAGATTTCTGCCAGATCCATGCATCAGATCAAGAGAGCAGCTGCTAAAATACCATTACATAGCAGCAAACAGATATTTGAAGCTGCTGGTACCTCTGGAGTCCCACGGACATCAAGGTGTAGAGTCCTCCAGAGTCTTGCAACTGTGCATAAACCTTCTATTCGGCCACCACTAACCAATACTCACAAGCAGAAAACGGCTGCATTGGGCAGAAAAATACATGAAGACTAATTTTCAAACAGTCCTGTTCACTGATGAGTGCCGTGCAACCCTGAATGGTACAGATGGATGGAGTAGTGGATGGTTGGTGGACGGCCACCCTGTTCCAACAAAGCTGCGACATCAGCAAGGTGGTGGTGGAGTCATGTTTTGGGCCGGAGTAGTGGGAACAGAGCTGGTCTGCCCCTTTAGGGTCCCCAAAGGTGTAAAGATGACCTCTGCAAAGTATGTGGAGTTTATGACTGACCACTTTCTTCCCTGGTACAGAAGGAAGAACTATGCTTTCCGTAATAAAATCATCTTCATGCATGACAATGCACCATCTCATGCTGCAAAGAATACCTCTGCATCAATGGATGTTATGGGGATAAAAGGAGAGAAAGTCATGGTGGGGCCTCCATCCTCCCCTGACCTCAATCCTATTGAGAACCTTTGGAGCATCCTCAAGCAAAAGATCTATGAGGGTGGGAGGCAGTTTACATCCAAACAGCAGCTCTGGGAGGCTATTCTGACATCTTGCAAACAAATTCAAGCAGAAACTGTCCAAAAACTCACAAGTTCAATGGATGCAAGACTCGTGAAGCTTCTATCAAATAAGGGGTCCTATGTTACAATGTAATGTGACCTGTTCAAATGTTTAAAAAGTTCAAAACGTTGTTAAAAGTTTGACTGAACTAGCTTTTGATTAGAGTAAATATGCTGCAAACACAACAAATGACAATTTTCAGTTCTTTACAACCTATAAAGTGTTTTGAAACTTACTGTGCGTAATAATTTGGAACAGTGCATTGGAAGTGTTTTATGTTTAACAAAAATCCTGTTATCATTAGGAGGTTTGTTCAATAAAATGTGAATTGTACTCTTAATAGTTGATAACATGAGAATTATGCTGACTGTTATTTACATCAATTATTTAGGTACATGAGAAAAATATCATTTGCATAATAATTGGGAACAGAGTGCATTTATCATATTTTTATTGTTCAGCGCTGCACTTTTTTATTACAAGGAAGGGGGTATAAGTGCCCGGTAGGCAAGTGGTTACAAATATTTTTCATGTATTTTGTAATAAAAATGCATTTCAACATACAGTATGTAATACATATAGAATACGGACAAAATTGTAGTATTTCATACATATGTCAATAAATTTAGGAAGAATAATTTTTTAAATATATTTTTTTTCTATGTGGGTGCTGCCTGATTGACAGCTGGCCTTGCCTCTCAGCAGAGAGCCTGAGCCAGCTACTTCCACCCCCTCTCCAACCTGGTGCTCCAGTGAGTTCACAGTTCTCAGACTTTTTCACCTATTTTAACAGGCAAGTCTGCAGCATTATCAGTGATGCTGCAGCTGTCCCATGTCTGTTTAGAGCTGATTTGAGAGAGCTGCAGCACTGAACCGAATCCTCTATTATTATTATACAAATAGTAATAATAATAGAGGTGTGTATAAATGTTTGTTTTTTAACCACTTTCCCTCCAGAGGATTTATCCCCCTTCCTGACCAGAATATTTTTTTGCGATATGGCGTGTTACTTAACCTGGCA